ATCCACTCACCTCAGCTTCCCAAAGGCGCGGGATTACAGGCTAAGCCACCGAGCCCAGCTTCAGTAGGTATTTTTTGAGCAGCGACTGTGTGCCCGGCCCAGTGCTAGGTGTCAGGGATACAGCAGAGCAAAATCAGCTATAGTGCTTCCCCTCAGCAAGACAGTCAATAATCGCACAAGTGGATGTAATGTGGTAACTGTGGAATGAATTTGTTTATGAGAATATGCTTATACTTGAGATTTTCACTGCATTGGTAATGAGTTTGTGTGTACTCTCTGTCCCCAGGAAGCCTTGAGGTGTGCCCAAGCCCACGCATCATCCCCCCTTCCCCAACCTGTGCAGAGAAGGAACTACCCTGGAAGAGCGGACAGGGGGACCTGGCCGTGTATGTATCCTCAGAAACCACCAAGATTGTGCCTGTGGACATGCAGACAGGCTGGAACCAGAGCATGTCATCCCTGGAGAGCCTGGCATCCCCTCCCTGTACCCAGGCCCCAACTCTTACCTGCCTGCCTCTCCACCCACTGGGTGCTGAAGAGCCCCAGGCCCCTCTTCACCTGCCTTCTGATCCTCGCCCTAGCTTTGCCTTCCCCCCGAGCCTGGCCAAGGCTGGCCGCTCTCACAGTGAGAGCAGTGCTGACATCCCCCAGCAGCAGGAGTTGCAGCCCCTCATGGGCCACAAAGACCACACCCATCTCAGCCCACGTACTGCTAACTCCCACTGGTGCATCCAGTTTAACAGAAGTGGCCGGCTGTAGACCAGGGCCTTGGGGAGTAGCAGGAGATGGAGCCCCTGTGGGAACTGCTCCCTAGGCAATGAGCAGAAGCCCACTCAGCTTGAAATGGGACCAGAGGGACCTTGACTGGGCTTTCTTGGGGTCTCTTGAGCTGGTCCTCACAGGGACCCTTCTCAACATCCTCCCTACTCTTAATCCCTGCCACCTTCTATTCCAGTAAGGCCACTACTCTGACTCAAGGCCAGTCCAGAGCTTCTAGGAGCTAGGCCCAGAGACTTGGGTAGCTGATGCCCCTTCCATTGGGTCTTCCTGGGATCATTATAGGCAGCTGTTCCTGTCCCCAAAGCAAAGGCATCATTCCTCAGGGATGCCAGCCTTCCCTGTCCCCAACTCCCTCCCCAGCACTGGGTCAGGAACAGTTCCTGGGCAGAGAGGCTCAGTGAGGGGCTGGTCCTCAGAAGGATTAGGGTAGGAGGTAGGGAAGGCCTCAGCCTTGGGCTTTGCTACCCTGCTGGTTCAGCTACTCATAGTCCATTATTTTTAGGGCATTGGGACTCTCTGCCTTCACTTCTTGCTTTAGCCCTGATATTGGAGTAATAGTTCCTCCTTTTCAAGGACCAAGGCCAGGGGCTGGGCCACACTTCAGTTAAGGCTGCTTCTAAGTCGGAGTCACTCAGGGGATCTGCTGCTCTGGGTCCAAGTCTGGACCTTTCTGATCCCTGGAGCTAGGTTTTTTGAAGGGACATAGTGGCCACTGGGCTCCCATGTCACCACCTGAACATTCCCCAAACAGTGAAGAAACCAGGTATCCCAGGGCAACTGCTCCATTGCTCTGGGAAGCCTGGCTTCAGTGGTTAGGGGGGCAGACTGGGTGGCAGGTGACTTGCCGGGGGTTAGCACCTGCCTTGTATTTTGTACCTTGAACCTAAGATACATTAAACATATCTCAGATGGTTGGTGTCCTGTGTCTATGTGTCTGGAGGTTCTAAGGGTAAGGGACAACAGGGGCATCTGGTGAGGGAGGTGGAAACTTGCAACTGCCTGCCTCCAGGATATAGAAATGGAAGAGATCCTAGGCAGGACTGTTAGTCTCTCTGCCCCCCCATCTCTCCCATACTTTTCCAATATTGTCCCCTTTGTAGGGGTCCTGCAGTAGCAGTCTAGGTGATCACTATATGGGCTTGGGGGTCACAGAACTGGGAATCTATAAATGAGAAAGACTAGCATGGAAAGAGACCCCAGAGGTGCCAAAGATGCAGCCACCATATAACTATGACCAGATAAGCATTATTTGAAAACCTGGAGGCAAATGTAGGACAAATAAACAGAAGTGTCCTGCACATGACAGGTGTGAAGGCAATCTCAAGGGACTTGGTTACCCCAAGTGTTTATGAAACACATTGGGTAGTGTAGGGTCCAGAAACATGAATAGAAATCTCTAGATAACAGAAGTCACCCAAACCAATTCCCCCTGTGACTGGAGAATTAAAAAAAAACCTTTGAGATATAACTCATATAAAAATCCACCCATTTAAAGTGTACAGTGCGGTGCTGGGTGCAGTGGCTCACACCTGTAATCCCAGCACTTTGGGAGGCAGAGGTGAGATTACCTGAGTTCAGGGGTTTGAGACCAGCCTGGGCAACATGGCGAGACCTGGTGTCTACAATAAATCAAAAACCAGGCCAGGCACAGTGGGTCACGCCTATCATCCTAGAAATTTGAGAGGCCGATGTGAGAAGACTGACTGAGCCCATGGGTTCGAGACCAGCCTGGGCAACTTGGCGAGACCTCATCTCTACAATAAATCAAGAAAAATTAGCCAAGGCATGATGGCGCATACCTTGCTCTTGGAAGGCTAAAGTGGAAGGATTGCCTGAGCCCAGCAGGTCGAGGCTGTGGTGGCTGTGAGCATGCTACTGCACTCCAGCCTAAGCAACAGAGTGAGACTCCAACTCAAATAAATAAAGTGTACAGTTCAGTGTTTTTAATATATTCACAGAGTTGTGCAACCTTCACCATAATCTAAGTTTAGAACATTTTCGTCATCCCCTAAAGAAACCCTGTATGCATTAGCAGTCAGTCCTTATCCCCCTGTCCTTTCCAGCCCTAGGTAGTCACTAACCTACTTTCTGGTTCTATGGATCTGAAGGACTCTTGACACACTTGGAAGGTTATGGTCTTAGCCAACTGACATTTACTTTTCCTGTGTTATACCTGGGGAAGGGATGAAGGAAGAGTGTGTCTTAGGCTTTGCCCTCAGGTTATCATCAGTGATAAGACCTAATAGTTAGCTAGTAGTCAACAGTCTGGAGTCAGACAGTCCCAGCTGTCACACACCTGCTATGTCATATGGGGCATATTACATAATCTTTCTGAGCTCCAGTGTCCTTCTCTCTAAGATGAGATAACAATCAGACTTCATAAGGTCGCTGTCTAGATTAAATGACAAGGGGAGGAATCTACCCAGGGCTTGGCCTATGTAAGAGGTCACAAATGTTTGTCATTATGGGTCATAGACTACACAGACTGCAAGACAAAGGTGCATGGAATGTACTGTGGGCCTTGAGATCTGAGCAGTCTTTTGGAAGGAGTCAGTGTGTGACTATGGCTGGCACCAGATGGAAGATGAAAGCCCAGGTGGAGGACAGAATGCTAGGAAGAAAGGCTAGCGATAGAAGGCCTGTTGGGAAGCGGCTTCAGCAGCCCAGGAGATGTGAAGAGGCTGGTGCCAGGGAGGGCAGGCAGCTGTTCTCAGACTTTAGTGTCAGAATCACTGGGAGCTTGTCAAACATGCAGATTCCTGGGCTGACCCCCAAAGGTTCTGATTCAGCACGTACATACAGGACCAGAAATCTGTTATTCTAACCATTTTGCTGGAGTAAGGTGGCCCATAGATAACACACTTTGAAAATTACTAGATTAGAAAGTTGAAGAAGCCGGGTGTGGTGGCACATGCCTGTAATCCCAGCACTTTGGGTGGCTAAGGCAGGGGGAGTGCTTGAGCCCAAGAGTTCAAGACCAGCATGAGCAACATAAACAAGACTTTGTCTCTACAAAGATTTTAAAAAATAGCCAGCTCTGGTGGCACGTGCCTGTAGTTCCAGCTACTTAGAAGGCAGAGGTGGAAGGAAGGATCACATGAACCCACGAGGTTAAGGCTGCAGTGAGCTGTGATCATCCTACTGTACTAGAACCTGGTTGACAAGAGTGAGACTTCGACTCAAAAAAAGAAAAAGAAAAAGAAAGCCTGAAGAAATTAAATCCACACAGTATCAGGCAACTGATGGTGGAGGGAAGGGAGCACAGAAGGAAAGTGGGGAGAGGGTAGGTGAGCATGGAGGATGGGAACCGGCAGGCAAACATCTCTAACGCAGCAGAGTAAATGAGCAAGAGCACATCCTGGATTTTTGCCATGTGAATGGGCAAAATTGCCCCAGTTGAGAGGATTTGACTGCAGAGGGTTTCACGAAGGAGGTGCCATACTCAGGCCTTGGGGGATGGGAGGAGATGGGATCAGAGGAGATGGGAATGGGCCTTCAGGCAGAGGAGACAGTGTGAGAGAAGACTTGTAATCAGATTAGTTTTCCAGGGCAGTCTGGGAGGTAGACGAGGAGGCTGTGATGCCTCTGGATGGCCTTGAATGCCATACTAAGAAGTTTAGAGTTTATTTAGGCCAAAGGCGAGAGAGGGAGTTTCAAGCCACAGGTCGTAGCTGACCCTGGCACCCTGGAAGGTTGGGGGTATTTGTTACCTTCACTTGGATAGTACCAAAGAGGGGTGTACAAGGTTTGAGGTGGAGTGAGGGGAATGACTGTGGGTCTCTTCACTAGGTCTGCTGAGACCAAGGGCCCCCATTTTATTTTTAATTGAGTCATGTTGGCAAGGAATAGGAGGCTGAAGGAGGGTTAGGGAAGGGGAAGGGATAGGGGAGGAAGGCCCATTCCCATTTTATGATCTCAGTGGAAAAGGCTGCTGCCAGGAGAGCCACAGAGATGGGCCCCATGAGTCACCGTTCAGTCCTGCAAGCTCAGCCCGCAGAGCCTGCTGTGGTCAGCCACCCCAGGCTGGCTACAGGCCTAGCCCCCCGATATTCCTGGCTAAGCCTCAGTCTGTCCCCATTTCTATCTGTACCTTGCCATCCTGGGGCCATGCATCCTGTAGCTCTCTTCTTGTCTGTCTCCCTTTCGGGCTGAGCCTCTGAATCTGCCTCCGTGTGGGACTCTGGTTTCCATGTGACTCATATGGGGACCTCAGGAGGACAGGGGTAGCATGACCAGTTTCAGGCATCCCTAAGTATTTATTTTGTGCCTGAATGCGCTGGGTGCTGGAAGTACAGAAGTGGACAACATACAGTCTCTGTTTCCATGAAGCTTACAATGCACATTCTCTGTGGAGTGGAGAAACCAGGGCCTAGCCCTGCCTCTAACTCAGTGTGGCTATGTTCCCCTGAATCTGCCTGTTGTGCCCAGGGGTGCCAGGGTCAGCTACGACCTGTGGCTTGAAACTCTCCTTTGCCTCTGGCATTCAGAGGGCTATGTGTGCCTGTCAGCAAGTCCTGCTGCCAGCAAGTCCCCTCAGCTCTTAGGGCTCCTTGGGGGAAGCCTGACTGGTGGGTGGGAGTGAGCAGGAGGGGAGGGAGGGAGCAGGAGGCAGTGACTCAGTGGAGGCGGCCCTGGGACAGAGCTGGTGAGGGAGCTGAGGTTGGACGATGATGCTCCCTGAAGCTAGGAGGGTAGTTAAGAGGTCTGGCTGGGGGTAAGGGATGGAGCAGGACAACACCAAGGCGCCTCGCTCACAGCTGGACCTGCTCATGAAAAAGGATTTTTGGTAGCTGCCTGGGCGTCTGGACTCTGGGTGCTGGGATGGGTGGGGAGATGCTGTTTTTTTCATTGTGCCTGCTCTGATGCCCAGGTTCATGAAGGAGGGGCCTGTCTTAGAACCAGGGAAGCCATTACACCCTCTGCCACTGCCTTCTAGGGACCAAGGACCTGGGCATTTACTAGGGTCTGGATATGCTGTGGGGTTCAGTGCCTTCTCTTGGCTGTACAGCTGACTTCCCACAAATTGGGGGGAATGTCAGGCCAGGCCCACATACCCCTCAAAGGACCCCAGACCTCAGAGCTGAGAGGGATCTCACAGCCACCAAAGTAACCTTCATCAGTTCAGGATCTCTGACTGAGGGTAAGATGAGGGGCAGGACACAAACAAAGCCCAAGTGTTGGTAAGAGGCAGAGGTGTGACATATGAAGTTTTCCTTAGTTCTTATGATATTCCTAGGAGAAAGGAATGGCATTTTCTCTCTTTTTCTCTCTCATTCTTTTTTTTTTTTTAAACAGGCGAGGAAGGTGAAACTCAAAGAGAAGAGGTCCCTGGAGCTACCCCAGCAGGTAAGTGGAGGAGCCAGGGTTGGGGGGTGGCTCTAGCTCCAGGATCCCTCAGCCCCAGCTTCCTTGACTGGACTTTATGGGGAGGAGGGTAATGAGGTGCCAGGGAATGCATGGGGTTGGACGACCTGGTGGATTCTGGCAGGCGGGGTCAGCTCCCACCCAGAGGCCCCGCTCCTGCCCAGTCAGCTGCCTATCCTGTCACGCCATCACACAACATGCCCTTGATGCCCCCGCCAAGCAGCGCCCGCCTCGCCTACACCCAAGGCCTTCCCCTGGGCGCATTCAGCAGCAGAAGCCCTTGCAAGCCCCTCCCCACCCCGCGGCAGGCCCACCCGC